TTTGGTGGTCGTGTATTCTGTAATGAATCCAGTCCACTGAAGGTGAGCATAGTGAAAAACCCAAGTGCAGTTTATTTACAGTGATCCAAACATCCAAACATAATCCAAACAGACGAAGACTAGAGACACAGACTTGACGAAGCATGAACAGACTTGACTAGGCATGAACAGACTAGACTCACCGACAGCAGGTTACAACTTCAATACACAACCAAGAACAATGACAACATCATGGCTACTTATAACAGACAAGGAGGGTCACATGACATGAACAAACCAATGGGAAACAAGACACATGACTAAAGCAACCAATGAGAACATAACACAGACAAGAGAATCACATGACTAGACAATAACCAATGAGAACATGACACATACACAAGGCAGAGAGACATGAGGCGGTCATCGAGGTGATCAGTTTATGCTCTGCACTGGAAAAGCTATTGTCATTTTTGTTTTTGTTTTTTCCCCTTTCTTTAAGTACTAGAGAGATTAGTATTATTAGAGTTAGATAATTGGTGGGAAAGAGGGGTAATTAGAAGCTTATGGCTTCGGGGAGTGGTGGGATTGAGGGAGGTGGGTGGCAGACAGTGATTAGGGATAAGGGAGGCTCTAAGAGGGGAGCATCGAGTGAAAGACCTGGAATGCCAGGAGATGAAGGAAATAAAATTAGGAAATCTGGGGGAAGTGAAGAGTTTGTTGTGTTGTTTAAGGTTAAGGGCAATGATCAGGGGGATGCAGGATTTAGAGCATTGAATCCATTAAATGTTACCAGTGCTTTGGAAAGTCAGATCGGCAAGGTTTCTCAGGCCATGATATTGTATAACGGAATGTTAAGAGTGTGTTGCAAAAATAGGAAACAGTATGATGATGCTAGAGGTGTGGGGAAATTGGTGGTGAAGGTGGAAGCTTTGGTTCCTAGAGGAAGTCAACAGGGAGTCAAGGGAGTGGTGTATGGAGTGTTTGCAGGTTTATCTGAGAATGAAATCCTAGAAAACGTTAAAGGGGCTCAGGTAATTGAAGTGGTGCGATTTAAGCGAAGAGATGGAGCCGGAGATCCACCAGTTTAAAGATGGTATACTGCCACAGAAAGTGTTCCTAGGGAGTATGGCATATAATGTGAGAGAGTATGTTAAACCACCGTTGTGCTGCTATAATTGTCAGAGGTTTGGACATGTTGCTGGGTCTTGTCGGGGGAAAAGAAGGTGTGCAAAGTGTGGTGGAGATCGTTCAATACAAAACTGTAAGGCAGAGGCTCCAAAGTGCCCTAATTGTGATGGGAATAATGCAGCAGGGTTCTACGGTTGTGAACGCTTTGTTCAGGCTAAGCATGTACAATTTGTGAAGGATCAGAGCAAGGTGTCGTATGCAGAGGCAGTTCAAAGAGTGGCAAGAGAGCGTGGAAATGGAAGATCTGGGGATGAAGTGGTATCAGGAAGCCAGAGTATTGAGCCAAATTTGCCGTTTGCACTTCCATCTGACATGTTGTTTTTTAATAAGGAGTCTTTTCTGTCTTTTGTTTCAGATGTGTTGGTGGGAGCTAAGAAAGCAGCTAATCGGTCAGATATTATCAGGTTAGTGGTGGAGGCAGCGGAAAGATACTTTAATGTAAAGCAGTTGCCAGACAAATTACATAAATATATGACGGAAAATCAGCATAAGGAAAGGTCACAGTTGTTGAGGGCTAATAGTATGGAGGATGTTGATGGGGAAGAGGATTTGTACCCTCATTAATATCTTGCAAGAGAGCGTGGAAATGGAAGATCTGGGGATGAAGTGGTATCAGGAAGCCAGAGTATTGAGCCAGATTTGCCGTCTGCGCTTCCATCTGACATGTTGTTTTTTAATAAGGAGTCTTTTCTGTCTTTTGTTTCAGATGTATTGGTGGGAGCTAAGAAAGCAGCTAATCTAAAGCAGTTGCCAGACAAATTACATCAATATATGACGGAAAATCAGCGTAAGGAAAGGTCACAGTTGTTGAGGGCTAATAGTATGGAGGATGTTGATGGGGAAGAGGATTTGTACCCTCATTAACATCTTAATGTGGTATATACTTCAATGGAATGCCCGGAGTTTGATTGGTAATGGTCAGGAATTAAAGCGTTTTGTTGATGAATTTAAAGAAGTACCAGAATTGATTTGTATCCAAGAGACATGGTTAAAACCACGGTTAAATTTTGTAATTCCAGGATATGAATGTATTAGATTAGATAGGTCTGATAGATCAGGTGGGGGATGTGCAACTTTAGTTAAAGTATAGGAAAGTTGATACTAATTCTAAGATGGAGTGTTTGGTTGTGGAGATTTGGACTAGTTACAATCCTATTTCTGTGATAAATTATTATAACCCCTGTCAATCTTTGGTAATGTCAGATTTTGGTGAGATAATGGAGAAGGTAAAATGTCCTGTTGTATGGGTTGGAGATTTTAATGCGCATAATCCAATATGGGGTAGTGATCACAGGGACAAAAATGGTGTTATAATAGAAGAATTTTTAGATAAGTATGAGTTGGTAGTGTTAAATGATGGAAGGCCAACTAGGTATCAGATAGTGAGAAATACTTGCAGTCATATAGATTTCTCAATTGCTTCCTCAAACTTAGCTACAGTAGGTGAATGGGATGTTTTAGATTCATATACAATGGGCAGTGATCATTACCCAATTGTATGTAAATTTGGTAGGGAATTGAGAAGTGAAGTAGAAGAGATAGTCCCTAGATATAATTTCTCTCAGGTTAAATGGGATAAATTTCAGGAGAAAGCTTTAAGCTTAGTAGGAGAGGTTTATAGTAAGGGTTCTGTAGATACTTGGAATACTTCCATTAGTCATATGATACACGAGGCTGCTTGTCATGCCATAACAATAAAGCAGAAACCTAAGTGCCGTGTGCTGGTTCCTTTGTGGAATAAAGAATGTGATGAAGCTGTAAAGAGTAGGAATGTAGCATATAAACGATTAAGAAAATACCCAATATTGATTAATGCAATTGAGTATAAGCGTTTAAGGGCAGTAGCAAGAAGAGTTATAAAGGATGCAAAGAAAAATAGTTGGAGGAAGTTTTGTAATACACTAGGCCCTGAAACTCCAGTAAGACAATTGTGGTCAGCTGTGCGTAGAATGTCAGGGATATATAAAAGAAGATCAATACCAGTGTTACAGGATTAGAAAGTAGAATTTAAATTTCATACTAATACACCCTTTTTTCTCCCTCTTTCCTGTTAATGCTTCACACTCTAGTCCAGTTGGTGGCGGTAATACACCATAAGTTGGCTTGTCAACCGTCATTAAATCGTACAAGAAGAAGAAGGAGACTTTATTGGAGAGGAGTTTAGAAAATGATGATCCTATTAATTTGTTTTTCACTATAAAAGAATTGAAGGATGCAATTATGTCTGGGGCAAATACTACACCGGGGAGAGATAGGGTGTCTTATGAGTTAATTAAACATCTGGATGATATTGTACTTGGTGAAATATTAGATTTGTTTAATACAGTGTGGGAAGAGGGTAATTTGCCCAAGGAATGGAAACATGCCGTTGTGATCCCAATTTTAAAGCCAGGTAAAGAGGCATCTGATCCGGGCTCGTATCGTCCAATAGCGCTCATGGCAGTGCTTTGTAAGATTATGGAGAGGATGTAACAAATAGGTTAGTATATTTTTTAGAAACTAAAGGACTTTTT